TCTTTGATTTCATTATTTTGACGAAAGCCTGATTCCACCACTGCCTCACATATAATATATATATACAGATATTTATATATATATATATATATATATATATATATATATATATATATATATATATATATATATATATATATATATATATATATATATATATATATGTATATATAGATCTACAGCTGATGTATGCTGCTAATATATCAAACAAAAATAGCGTCGTCTACAGCAACATCAAAGTTACGGAGCCAAAAAAAAAAGTTCAAACGCCATCCTACTGAGAAACTCGGGCCATGAAGCCTTTAGCCCTTATAAACAGACAATATGAGGCTTGCTCCACGAGGCTTCAAATGCCCAGCAAAAGCACCGTTCAAAAATCTTAATAAACCGTTTGTAAAATTCCGAGATCAAGCGTAGCAATGTTATCATTATCATTAATTTTTTTAAAAGAACAGAGAAAAGTGGTGAAAAGAATATTAAGAAATGGTACTTTTCTTCTAATTTTGTCTGAATGTTTTGTTTCAGTCAGTTTTTTTCAATTAGATAAGCTTCAAAATAATACACTGTAAATGGCAGTTGAACACACCTGACCTTTTACATTAAACCTCTAGTTCAACTGAATGTGTGACGGGACAACCTTCCTGTAGAATTATGCCTGGATACAGTCCATGCCGGCTTTTTAAGCACGGTCATCGGGGGAAAGCTTAAGCGTGCTTAATGCCGAAGCGTGCTGGAGTGCAAAGTAGACATAATCCAGAGATTTTCATGTTGAAAATTTCTCGTGCTATTTCCCTTTGTTTGTAAGTATAGGCCTATAGCGGTCCCGCAAGTGTGCATTGTTATTTTTACCCGCCATGGTAGTTTTGTTTGCTTGCTTGTTTTTGTTTTGTGGTCGAATGGGAAATGAAAACTTAATTTAGACGACCAGTAACGATACAGCACACTAGGCCTACACATTGCCTGTGCGTACCACTGCCCGCAGTGCCACATTTATACAACTGCCTTCCTCCCACCTCGCGCGTGATACACAATCAGGATTAATATAGCGAGGGTCAACGGTGAAATCACAGCCAGCCTCCCTTTCTCGTCCCCAGGACTCTCTTTGTATTTTTTTTGTCTGTGTGTAGCTTTGCCCTAGGCTAGATCCTCCATGTGCGCGGCTGTGTGCATCTCTGTGCCTTCCTCTCCGCCCGTGTGTGTGTCTCCATCACTTTCGACTTTGTGTTTCTCTTAATACATCCTACTGCTGTGTTCAAACGTCGATGGGTCATCATGATAGTATTGACAGTCTTGTATATGAAGCGTACCTGAAGCCGAAGTTACCATGCTTAAAGGCGTGTCATTTATAAAGCAAAAATTCAGTAAGAACCGTTTAGCGTGCTTGAGTCCGTAACGTGCTTTATGCCGGCGTACTTAAAGCCGGCACGGACTGTATAATGTCTAGACTGCTTCGACCACCTGTCAAGGCCATCCCGGCTCATAGCATAGTATCCCTGCAGAAAGATATAAATATTGGTAGATAGTATTCTTTACGCAAGGATTCAAGTGTAATGTTCTGCTTGCAATGGCGAAGTACCACAAAACTGATCTACTAGGTGATAAATATCATCCGCATTGTTTTAAGACGGTCAACTACTTGGAAAATACGAAAGGCCTACAGAGGTAAATGTGCAACAATTCTCAACTTCCAGCAGACCTACATTTTTGACAAAATATTAAGCCAGCTACTTGCCATAAATGTATATATGTATAATGTTTTGGGGTTTTTCTTATTTAAGTGTACCGTTATACTCGGTTCCGTTGAGTGAAACGTAGTCGACAATCATGGCCTGGAAAGATTGGCATTCGAAACAGCCTCACAACGCCCCAGACAGTGGCATGACAACAGACGACATCGTGCGCACGGTCAGCACTGACGGTCTTCAGTAAGCGGAAAGGACTCCGAGACAGTTGCTAAGCGACGAGACAACACGTCTGGTGATGTAGATCTTACTTATCTACGTATTCTCCCATCTTTATAGATAACATTTGTATGGCGCTAATTCTAGCCCAACAGCTAGCTCTAAGCGCTATTACATGTATATTATTACTCATATCACCCCAGGAGAAAAAGATCCCAGACACTGAAAAGTTCTTGGGAGTGCAAATCCCTTGTATCGTCTGAAGAAAAGCCATCTTAGGTGGGCCGGACACCTTGTCCGAAATTCAAACATTACATATGCCTCCATGAAACTATTTTCTCCTAAGAATTGGTATTTGGAAGGCAGAACAATTTGTATTTCAGAGAATATTTCCTTATCGAAAACCACATTATTTCGTGTTAACATGTAACAATGCATTGAGCTGTGAATTTAGTAAAAATTAAAATATTTTGTCCGTTTCATTCCACTATCGACATACACGTTTGTCAAGGCATGTATCGGGCTGTAAATCTTAGAGTCGCTGTCCGTGGGTGGTGGGAGAGCGCCACTGGTAGGACCTACCTCCTTACTTTCCCTCTCTTGTTCTGTCTGTCCGTCGTACTTTTTTTCCCAGCACAAAAGGGCCATTATTTCGTCGATGTGCTTCTTCATTCTATTGATCAGCTTCGACGATAATTTCAACAGTTTAGGGGGATGACTACTTCGACTCTGCCTGTCCGTTTGACCTCAACATACTTCCGGGCAGAAAGACAGAATCACACAATGAGATTTAATAGTTTCCTCACGTTGGAATTGAGCTCATATCATCTGGGTGCATGGTAAGCAAAAAGCCCAGGAACAGACCACAGACACGTCTATAGTTCTCATCGCTCTTCCTTTTTTGGCTTTGTCACTCTCTTGTAACACCTCTAATTGTAAGCACTTATACGTCCTTACTGCGTTGCAAATGCCGTAAAACTTCTACTTAAACTAAAAACTAAAGATAAAAGACTCCAGTATAATAATATACAGTCTCTGCTCGTTCCCAGAGAGGACTCACACTTTACAATCCCCCCCACCCCCATCCCCCCTTTCTCCCTTCCAATAACGTAACTGACATTAAAGATTTCAAACATTTTGTTGATAATCCATGCACCCATTTATCAACACAGACACACACAGACAAAGAGAGACATGCCGGTACACATGCACACAAACAGATAATCACAGCAGAAAGAAACCAAAAAAAAGAAAGAGAGAGAGAGAGAGAAAAAGGGGGGGGGAAGGAGAGAGAGGGAGAGAGAGAGGGGGAGAGAGAGTGAAAGAGAGACAGAGAGAGAGAGAGAGAGAGAGAGAGAGAGAGAGAGAGAGAGAGAGAGAGAGAGAGAGAGAGAAAGAGAGCGGAAAGAGAGGGAAGGTGATAGAAAGTGTGTGTCTGTGTGAGTGTGGGGCGGAGAGGGAGAGAGCGAGGGTGAGGAAAAAGGTTTAAACAGAGACAGGATGAGGAAGCCTGTGGGAAATGAATGATGCAAATACAACATTAATCACAAAAAAGTTTAATAATGATTATGTTATGGACATGAGGTGTTTTAAATGATACCCAACCCTCAAAGAAAAATAACCACACAACAAAAGACAAACAGACAAAAAACCTTCATAAACAAACAACAACAAAAAACCCTAAAGAAAGCAAAAACAAATTCAGCAAGGCTATGACGAAAAATTGCCAATTAACAAGAAATACAATATAATATCAAAAAGAATACAAAATTCAAGCCCACTGCGAGTGTGAACAGAACAAACACCCAGAATATTACTCTTCTTCTTTAGAGCTTCTCATTAGAGTTTGGAAGTACAATAATGATGTGGCGTTGTTGTTTTCGATCCATAATAATGACGATAATATAGATGTAGTACATGTATTATCATTGATAATAATAACACTAATAATAAAAATAGTAATAATAATTATAATAAAAATAATAACGATGATGACAATAATAATAATAATAATAATTATTATTATTATTATAGTAATTTCAATCATAATAATAATGATGATGATGATGATTATGATGATGATGATGATGATGGTAATGATGACGATGATGATGATGACGATGACGATGATGATGATAATAATAATAATAATAATAATAATCATAATAATAATAATAATAATAATAAAAATAATAAAAATAGTAACAATAATAATAACACGTAGAAAATTTATTGTGGTGGTTGAGACTAATACATGTAGTAGGCTACCATGTGTTATCTTTGCTTAAATCTTCCTGATTTGTAACTTTCAAAGCACTCGGCAAAACAGCATTCCCTGCAACCCCCCTCCCCAAAACAAAATACAGCCGAAAAAAAAGTCTCAATCAAAAAAGACCTTTTATGACCAAACTCGTTTAAATCATTTTAAAAATTGACAAAAACATGTTCACACAAGAATGAAAAAGGCAAGTTCTCCATAATTTCTTAATAAAGCCAACAAAGCAAAAGTCACTAGAATAAAAGGGCAGTGGAAACACATTGCAAGAGAGCACTCAAAATGAAAAATGTAATTGTCATTTAAAAAAAAAAAAGAGTCACAAATTAATGTATATCCAACACATCACTTACAGGCTAAAATCTAGAAAGAAATTCTGAAGTAATGTTTGTTTTAAGCTTCACCTCTGTTTTCGGGATCTCCTTTTATTGAACGCCTATTATGAGTCTACTTAGTTAAAAATATCCCCCCCCCCCTCTCCCCCCAAAAATAAAGCAAACAAACAAACAAGCAAAACAAAACAAAACAAAAATAAAAGTACCATGACAATGTATGTACAACATCATTTCCTTTTATTTTTAAGACTCTTGTTCGCAATAAGAAGGAAAGGTGCGCTTTACTGTCAATGCGTATGTGTGTGCATGTGTGTCTGTGTGTGTGTATGTGTGTGTGCATTTGAGTTCATGTATATAAGTGCGTGCTTGTGTGCGTGCTTGTGTGCGTGCGTGCGTGCGTGCGTGCGTGCGTGCGTGCGTGTGTGTGTGTGTGTGTGTGTGTGAGAGAGTATGTGTGAGTGAGAGAGAGAGAGAGAGTGTATGTGTATGTGTGTGTGTTTGTGTGTGAGTGTGTGTTTGTGCGTGCATATGTTTGTGTATGTGTATGAGTGAGTCTGTGGTCGCACGTACGTATAGTATACCATCAGTTGTTTAACGTTTTAAGGAAACCCAACCTCAAAACACAAGACTTCCTTCCCAAGACCTTCGTGGCCCAAAGACCTCTTTAAAAACAAGCAAAAACAAAGAAACAACAACAACAACAACAACAAAAAACTACAACAACCCAGTTCAGCTATCGCATTGCAACAATCAAATTCGTGGCTTCTTTCAGGACGATATTGAAATCAGTATGCAAATGAGCCCGCCAAAAACGTCTGACCCGCCCCCATACGTCTGCTGGGAAGCAAGGGGAGGCGATCCCGTGAAGGATGCGGGCAATGGCGCGCCCTGTGAGGGAGTGCTCTTGACCATATATGGAGATGAAATTTCTTATGTCGCCCCGCAGTTGCGCCAGGCTAGCTTCATCACGCTGAAGAGGAATAGTAAAAAAAATATATTATAAGTTTTAAAAATCCAACAACTTTCTAAATTTAAAAAAAAATATTTACAAACTACTTAGGGGATCACAAAGACAGGTTACACCAGCAAACAATGTCTGTTCATCCACCAAACTGCCCGAGGAAAGGAACATAAAATACAAGAACCATAGATAGAAAAGTAACGAGGAGCAGACAGAACACAAGAAAGAAAAATACAAATAGATATGACAGTTGACAGTTAGACAGTGAGGACACAGATATCAGCAACATAGTCAGATAAATGGTCGATACATACATGACACATATCGCAGCAGATACACAATACAGATAGATAGATAGATAGATAGACAGACAGACAGACAGACAGACAGACAGACATACAGACAGACAGACAGACAGACAGACAGATAGATAGATAGATAGATAGATAGATAGATAGATATATAGATAGATAGATCGATAAATAGTAGAGACGGACTGACAGAGACGGACTGACAGACACACAAATGCCCCACCTGCTCCCCACGAGCCCCCTGTGAGGAAGACGCCTCCACGTCCCCTCCCCTGCCTATTGCGTCTTCAGCACCATCTGTGTCAAAGAAGTCCACCAGCTTCTTCTTGAGCTTGTTGCTCCGCTCTTCGTCCGCCGTGTCACAACACATCCAGAAGTTCTTGTGCGACACGCTGTAGAAGAACACACGAAAAGGGATGACAATACATAACACAACAACGTGAAAAAAGAAGAATTAGCAGCGTCACGAAACGGTTAACTAATACACGTTTACCTTTCCCCCCTTTACAAAAAACAACACAAAGACGAACAAAAAAACCAACAAACAAAGAAACAAACACCCCCCAAAAAAACAACAACAACAACAACAACAACCCAACAACATATAGATCCAGCTTTTATATTTGCACGTTACTGAATCTCTATATAATTATTATAATTTCTCCATGTCTTAAATGAATTTAGAAACAATTTTATTCCCACGATGAAAAGCTCTTAATAACAACACAAGAAAGAGTTGTGAGTTATGACAGATGAGAGATGAATAAAGATTGTCATTGTTGTTGTAATATCTGAAAGAAATAAAAGACCTAGGCATCTTATCTGTAACAAAGAAAGATATAGAAGGCCATTTTTACCATCATCCATCAAAATGCTTCCATCTTAACCATCTTGTATAAATATACTTACGACCTTAGAGCATGCACAAGAATAACATTGAGTGTGTATCTAGCTTAACATTATTATTGTTTATATTGCTGCTCATTTATATTATGCATGTGATTGTAAGCCTGCGTGTGTGTGCGTGCGCGCGCGCGTGTGTGTGTGTGTGTGTGTATGTGTGCGTGTGTGTGTGTGTGCGCGTGTGTGTGTGTGAGTGTGTGTGTGAGCGTGTGTGTGTACGTGTGTGTGTACACGTGGTGAAACACGAAACGAATGTGCCAGGATCTGGACAATAAAGATATATCTTATCTTATCTGTACCTGTTCAAGGCTTCAGCGAGCATGTCCAGCTGTCTCAGCTCAGTCCTCTCCTGTCTCTGGGCGCGCCCGTTC